TGCCAAACATTATTATTTCTGGTGCTTATCACTTTGGTCTGGGATCTTCCCTACGCTTTTAAATTTGTCAAAGTCTGTGTATTAGCTATTGCAATAATAATTAATTACTATACATATATAAATCCAGAAATTTATTCATTACATTTGTATCGTTTTCCTAAATTGCTTTTAGCAAGTCAAAAGAAACAATAACCTTAAAAAATATGTTATTTAATTTTTATATTATTAATATGATAAAGTGACGTCATCCATTCTTCTTTTCGTTGTTTGTGCATTTTGTCATACCTAACGCCCAGCTGCTGCGGTATATTCGATCTATTTGTGATCGCCTAGTGCGTGCCGGCCGCCTTGAAGCAGTTCTTCTCACAGGGTTGGCGTCGGCTGATTTTTTTCGCCTTCTGCAGCATTATGTAGATGCTACAGGTGACGTACAAACGGCCGCAATCGCTGGTCTACACGCCTGCCATCTCTCTGAGCCAGCCAAGATTGGATCAGCATCTGGTTCAGGATTTGGATCTGGGTTTCAGAAATCAGTGCCCTCTGGCTTCATCCATACCCCTAGTAGTGTCTCTAGTGGCACTTTAGGGCTCGGACCGACGAGTTCATGGCCTGTTTCCATTCCAGTTAGTGGTATTGCAAATAGAACCTTAGGACCGACTCAGATACTAGCTGCAGCTGCCGGGGCGCCTAGTCAGTCTAGTCCAGGAGCAAGAGACGGGTTCTGGCCTCTAGTACATTTGGGAGGCAGCAGGTTGGCCAACTGGGTGCTCAGGTACTTAATTAGCTTACACATTTGCCTTTAATCCTCTTGGATATGATTTTGCTTAAATGATTTCGCATTCGATCCAGAATATGCACACTAAATCGCTTAGTTTAATTTCTTCTGACTTTTTGACATATATTTGATAATTGATTGAATGCATGATGAGTTATGTTGTTAACTGAATATTATTTAGGTGTTGCTTATTAATTGAGCCCATTACTTAACTAGTATAGAGGCATGCTATTTTTCTTATTTTCTCATAAAATAAAATAATATTATTTGGATTGTCTTCTCATATGCCGAATACAGAATAGAGTGTGAAAAGGGCCATTTCACATATTATTTCAAGGTCAAATAATATCATTTTATTATGCGAAAAGAACATATTTTTGTCTTCGAAAAAATCCTGGTTAGGATGCAGCCCAAGTGTCCAACTTGAACGAAATGATGTATCCTTATCCTGGTGATTACCACAATCACTTATTAGGGCTGCGCTTTTATTACTCTTGGCATTCATTGTCGAAGGATCCTCTTTAATGGCTTTATTTT